TAGGATGTTAGGAGAACAAAAATCTAAGTGTGAAAACAAAACCCAAATATAGGGAAGGAAAGTCCTAATACCTAGCAAAAGGAATTGGCCAGACCTGGGGATAGAAAAGGAACAGAAATGAGGAGGATGGCAGGTGGAAAGCTTACAGTGGGAATCATCAGAGGAAGCTGAGCACTGGAGGCTTACCCGATGCAGAAAAGGATATGGTGGCCCGAAGTGATGCTGCAGTCCCCAACAAAAAAGCCCAGGCAGCTGAGTCTTATAAGTCAGTTCTAAGGAAAGTGGACTTGGGTGAAAAACCACTAACCTAGGGCACTTCCTGGACGTCACTAGACCAGTGAAAGCACAAGTTCCAGAAATTCAAAGCAGCTCAAGGATCCACTGAGGGTATTTCTCCAGGAGACAAATGTGAAAACTTCTAAGCAGAAAGTAGCACTCAGAGGCAAGGCATGCAATAATAAGAACCCCAGAAGCTCAGAACTAAAACAATTCTCAGGATCTTTCTGGGGACAGAAATTTAGAGAAAAAAGCAGGAAACTGGGACAGTGAAGGAGGCATGCAAGATGATGCAATTCTCTTGAAGAATTTCCTACTACTCCTCTCACTATAATGTGGGGTATCCTGCCCACAAAGTAAGGAGGCTCTTTCACTAGAGATAAAGATCTTCAGCAATGGTGAACGGTGGATAGAAACAGGGCTTGAAGGAGAAATGAAAATGAGAAGGTTCTAAATCCTTGGGATGGGCACCAAGAAAGACCCAGAACCACCATGGCAAAGTTCTAAAATTTTCAAGGGAAGAGAATTTCCCTCCCCACAAAACATATGGCAAGACTAGTGAGAGACAGAACCCAGTAACCTTATGAGAAGAGAGCACCTCCCAAACTAAGTTCAAATTCACAGGTGGTAGACTCCAAATTGCTTGGTGATCTAGAGAGGCTGAACTATCACATGCAAGATTATACTTACCATTGGTAATTCAGGATCCATGTTGTAAAGGAGAAGATAACTGTGGACTTACTTTCTAAATTTGACACCATGGGACCCTGACTGATACTCAAGCTACAGTTTAGATCCCATCTCCTACCACTTTCTCCAGCTCACTCTGCTCCAGCCATACTGACTTCCTTGATATTCCTAAAACATGCCAAGGACATGCCTCTTGCAAGACCTTGTCACTTGGTGTCCTCCCTGTGCATGGCTTACTCCCTCACTTCCTCCAGATCTGCGCTTAAATGTCACTTTATAATAGAGACCTTCCTGAAGACATGAACAGACATTTCTCCAAAGAAGACATACAAATGGCCAACAGACACATGAAAAAATGCTCAACATCACTCAGCATCAGGGAAATACAAATCAAAACCACAATGAGAAACCACCTCACACCAGTTAGAATGGCTAAAATTAACAAGTCAGGAAACAACAGATGTTGTCGAGGATACAGAGGAAGGGGAACCCACTTACACAGCTGATGGGAAAGCAAGCTGGTAGAGCTACTGTTGAACATAGTATGGAGGTTCTTCAAAAAGTTAAAAATAGAGCTACCCTTAAAAAAAAAAAGAGCTACCCTATGACCCAGCAATTGCACTAGTAGGTATTTACCCAAAGGATACAAATATACTGACCCAAAGGGGCACCTGCACCCCAATGTTTATAGCAGCAATGTCCATAATAGGCAAACTATGGAAAGAGCCCAGATGTCCATCGACAGATGAATGGATAAAGGAGATGTGGCATACACACACACACACACACACACACACACACACACACACACTGGGATATTACTCAGCCATCAAAAAAAGGAATCCTCTGTGACGATATGGATGGAACTAGAGGGTATCAGGGTAAGCTAAATAAGTCAATCAGAGAAAGACAATTATCATATGATCTCACTGATATGTGGAATTTAAGAAACAGAACAGAGGATCATAGGAGAAGGGAGAGAAAAATAAAGTAAGATGAAATCAGAAGGGAGACAAACCATAAGAGACTTTTAACTCTAGGAAACAAACTGAGGGTTGCTGGAAGGGAGGGGGTTTGGGGGGAGATGGGTAACTGGATGATGGGCATTAAGGAGGGCACATGATGTGATGAGCATGGGTGTTATATGCAACTGATGAATCACTAAATTCTACCTCTGAAACTAATAATACAGTATATGTTAATTAAATGAATTTAAATAAAAATAAAATATAAATAAATATATTTTATATATAATGAACATATATGTATTTATACATATAGAGGCCTAAATATAATAAATATATATATATATTACATGTATAAGATATATATAAAATAGAGGCCTTCCCTGACCATCAGTTGTCACTCCCTTTGCCATGCTTTCTTCCCCACCTAACATGGGATTTATTTCCTTACTTGTTTATCTCTCTCTCCGCCATGACCCCTGAACAATTCCAACACCATGTCACCTGGGATTGTTTTACTGCTGCCACAATGTCAGCTATTAGAACCTGCTTGACACAGACTAGAAAAGAAATAAACATTTATTCAATGAATGCATTTATGCATCCATGTCATTTGAAGTTTTTGCTCATGGTCCACAATTGACAAAAGCAAGGTGGGTCTGGACTGACTGTGCACTGGATTCTGAGAATATAATTTTGCTTTTTCCTTTTGCATAACTAGTGAGAAGCAGCAGAAGTGCATTAAGAATGAGGGCCGTGGAGCCAGGGTCAAATCACCCTGTGTTCAAATCACTGGGTGTGTGATCCTGGACAAATTGTTTAATTTCTCTGTGCCTCATGATCTTTGTCTATAAAATGGGAACAATGGCAATGCTTTCCTCAGAAGGTTTGGTAGGTCTGAGTTGATCCAAAGAGGACACATTGTTTTGTTTTTTCTTTTGTTTTTGTTTTGTTTTTTGTTTTATTTTGTTTTTTGTTTTTTGCTCACTGCAATTTTTTTCTTTCTTTTTTCTTTTTTAAAGTTTTTATTTAAATTCCAGTTAGTTAACATACAGTGTGATATTATTTTCAGGCATACAATACGGTGATTCAACAGTCCCATACATCACCCAGTGCTCATCACAAGTGCTCTCCTTCATCCCCATCACCTGTTTAACCCACCCCCCACCCACCTCCCTTCTAGTAACCATCAGTTTGCTCTCTATAGTTAAGTCTGTTTCTTGATTTGTCTCTCTCTCTCTTTTCTCCCTTTGCTCATTTGTCTCTTAAATCCCACATATGAGTGAAATCATATGGTATTTGTCTTTCTCTTACTGACTTACTTCTTTTTGTATTATACTCTCTAGCTCCATCCATGTTGTTGCAAATGGCAAGATTTCATTCATTTTTATTCAATTTTATAAATTCCAATATATATATAGAGAGAGAGAGACAGAGACAGACAGAGAGAGAGAGAGGGAGAGAGGGTGTGATATACATATGTGATATATGTGATTATGTGATATATATATATATATATCTCACACCTTCTTTATCCATTCATCAATGACAGACACTTGGGCTACTTCCATAATTTGACTATTGTAAATAATGCTATAAACATTGGGGTGCATGTATCCCTTTGAATTAGTGTTCTTGCATTCTTTGGGGAAATACCCAGTAGTGCGATTGCTGGATTGCAGGGTAGTTCTACTTTTAACTTTCTGAGGAACCTCCAAACTGTTCTTTGAACTGACTGTACTAGTTTGCATTCCCACCAGCAGTGCAAGAGGGTTCCCCCTTCTCTACATCTTCTCTAACACCTGTTGTTTCTTGTGTTGTTGATTTTAGCTATTCTGACAATATGAGGTGGTATGTCACTGTGGTTTTGATTTGCATTTCCTGATGATGAGTGATGGTGAACATCTTTCAATGTGTCTGTTGGCCATCTGCATGTCTTCTTTGGAAAAATGTCTGTCCATGTCTCCTGCCCATTTTTTAATTGGTTTATTTGGTTTTGGGGTATTGAGTTTTATAATATGTTTCATATATTTTGGATACTAACCCAAAGAGGGCACTTTAAACAGTGCCTGGCACATACTTAGTACTCAATAAACATAGCTATTATTGTCATCATCATTACTATGTGCTGGAAACTATTCTAAACATTTTACTTGTATTATGTCATGTAAAGATCAGTGAGAAGGTAACTGAGGCCCGGGAGCCAAGAAGAACATAGCTAATTTGTTGGCTCTTTTTAAAAAATGGAGGTGAAGTTCACACAACATAAAATTAACCACTTTTGAGTGTATGCTTGAGTGATGTTTCTTAAGTTCACGGTGTTGGGCAACCATTACATAATTCTGCTTTATTTTTTCTCAGAACAGTGGTGAATACGGGAGAGAAGGATCAGGAAGGCAGGAGCAGAACCTAACTTATTCAACTGCCTTCCTTCAAAGGTGGCAGCCCCTCCACCTGGTTGCCCATAAATTTGTCTGTTAAATCCAGTGGATTAGAGAACAAAAAAATTCTATGTCCCTTCCTACTAGAGAGAGCTGTGGACTTGACACGGCTGGCCTCGAGCTGGCTTCTTCACAAGGCCAGATGGCCTTTCTAGGAAGTCTGACCTTCACGAGGCCACTGTTCTCTGTGTCAGGTTCATGTGCTCAGACATGTTCCAGTCGTAAGGCCTCCCTGTCTCAACCAGGGCCAGCACAGTGCGGCTCACGTCACTGATCTCCAGGAATTTGGTTCTCGTTGTTCATAATGACTACCCTGGGGGCTCAGCCATCTTAAACCGGCGGTAAGAGAGAGGAAGCCTTACAGTATTTTCAATCCATCACCATCAGGAAGCCCTAAATGAAACAGTCCATTCTTGATCTCTACCCGCTGCGAGCAAGAACCCCTACGGGGAAGGGGAGGGGTGGTAAGATTCAGGCCCCCTAAAGCCCAGAAAAAGGTCGGTAGTCATTAGAACTAGAACACACGTCTCTTGACTCCCAGATTAGCATTCTTTATGCTCCCCGACATTGTGCAGTTCACATATTTCACATGTCCTGAGACACAAAACGGAGGGACATGTACACCCACCTGCTGGTGCCATTGCCATCATTATTTGCACTGAGTGCTGCTCAGAAGATCCCAGGACGGTGACATTCACTGTGTAATCAGTTGCTGGGTGCAGGTCTAAACACACCACTGGAGCTCGTTCCCTTGTTGTAAAGTTAAATGATGTTGCATGATAAAAATTATTCAGATACCACCTTTGACCCAGAACTTTAAACTGTCATGAGATTAAAAGAAAGGGTTGCATTAAATTTTCTGTTGGCTTGCAGAGATCTAGACTATAAGCAAAACAGAGATAAAGCAAGAAGGTTCATTCTGCTAGAATTGTTTTTAATACAATAGCAAGCTAAACTGGGGATGGACTTTACAAACCTACTCTCCCTATCCTATTCAACGTCCCCCTCCACCAGCTACAGGACAAAGCTTAAAATGCATAACTGCATCTCCAGTGAACAAAATGTAGGCTATTCTAAGACAACGATGTCCTCCCAGGTAAAGAAGATGGCACTGGCACTATTGGGCAAATCCTTTTAATTTCTTTTCATTCATAAAGGATCCATTGATATGCCTCATGAAACAGAATTTTTGAACAGATTCCTCCCAATTATGCATTCAAAGCAACTGTGCAAGGGTACACTTCACTTGGTCCTTCCTATTAGAGCTCCGGTAAGAGTTTTTGGTCCATGGATTCATCATGCACGCTGTTAGCCTTTAATACTCTATCCATTGCCAAACTAAGATGCATGTATAATATAGGGACTTATAAGGGAAAAAATATGTGAAGGTCCCAGAAGTAATATGCTCAACCCCTGATCGATCTGTGTGCTACAGCTGGGCATTTTGTGTTTAGCGTTTCCTTTGATGCTCACGTCATTGGCTATGACCACCCTCCATCCTTCCTCATCACTGCCATTCTTCCACAGTCACTCAAGACCCCGACATCTGGCTCACTGGGAGTTTCCCCTCTCCCCCAATTCCTAGCATTCTCTTGGGGAACATAAAGGTCCTTATAGACAAGCCATCAAAACTTGGCCTCAGAGATCCTTGAGCTCAATGCTATGAAGTTCCTCCGCTCCACTTTAGCTACTCATCTCCACAGCCACATCCCAGGCTGCATCATTCTCAGAGCTGCCCCAAGATCTCACAATCTCCTATCCCTCTGCCCCACTCATCCATTGTGCCTGATCTCTCTCAAGAAACCCCCAAGATTTCCTCACTCGAGATCTTCTACCCATATTCTACCACCCCCATCCTTGTCTTCCCCAGCTCTCTCAGGTACCCTATCACTTCAATTATTCTCTTGCCTGAGACCCTCAACGCCCTTAACCCTCTGTTCTCAATTTCACCCATTCTGGAAAAACCGAAACACATTGGGTCAATCCAGATATTTGGCTTTACCAGTTCTACATTTAGGCTGCTGCCATCTGCTGGAAAAGACCTCACAACTATGTAGGCTGCGTTTCTACAAACTCAGTCTCATCCTAAACTCCACGTGGTTTAGTCTACAAACAAAAAATGACTTTCTGGTTACAAACACTGTATGCACAAATTTATAGTAAAGTTATTTTATTTAAAAATATAGTGTGAAGTTTTTTTTCTCTGTCATTAATTGGTTCTATAAATAAGTATACAGAGTATACGGTGCTGGGTACACAGTGGCAATTAAGGTACAGGCCTAACCTCAAGGAGCTCACCGATGAGTATCCAGGCCAACAAAATACCCAGGGATAAGTCCTAGAATACATGAGGCAGCAGGAGCACTCAGGAAGGACACCTAACCCTCCTCCTTGGGGATCAGGAAAAGCTTGCCTATCTAAATTTGGACCCGAGGAGAAATTAGCATTAAGCAGGTGAGTTGCAGACAGGAAAAACAATTCAGACAGCAGGAGCGGTGTTTGGGGCAGAAGGTCAGTGAAGCCTTCCTACCAGGGGAGATGACTGCGCTGAGCTTTGTGGATAAACAGGAGGCAGCCAGATAGGATAAAGGAAGGAAGGGCATTGCTGGTAGGAGAGTCACATATGTGAAGACACAGTGCGAAAAAGAACACAAAAAGTTAATCAGGGAGTATGGGCCTAGAGCTTATAGAACAGATGAGGCCTGGAGAAACAGATTTAGGACTTACCAGCATAGAGACAGTGAAGGAAGCAAAGAGGGATACAGAATGACAAGAGAAGGGGCAATGTACAACCTTGAAGGTATTCAGATTTAAGGGACAGGCAGAGGAAGGGAATCCTAGGAAGGAGAAAGAGAGTGGGGTCAAAATAATAGGAGAGGGGTGCCTGGTGCAGTCGGTTAAGTGTCCAACTCTTGATTTCAGCTCAGGTCATGATCTCAGGGTTGTGAGACTGAGTCCACACGCCTAGCATGGAGCCTGCTTAAGATTCTCTCTCTCTCTCCCTCTTCCTCTGCCCCCCCTCCACCTTGCACATGTGCTCTCTCTCAAACAAAAAAAACAGTACTCTATGCTTATAGAAGAATCATGGTATCTTGTGGTTTAATTTTTTTTCTTCTTTTTTTTACTAGTGAGGTATAACGTGTTCATATGTGTTTTGGAGATTATACATATATAATCTCATATATATATGTAAGTCCTGGATCTACAACTTAACTGTATGACACACATATATATATATTTATCCTCTTTTGCAAACTGCCTCTGAATATTCACGTTTTACAATGGGTCTGTTGAGAGTATTTTACATGTTACTTAATGTTACTTTATGAATCTTTAACATATTAAAAAACAACTTTTTTCCCCAACTTAACTCTTTAATCATTTTAGTGTAAATGCAAAGAATCATTTATTTTCTCAACGAAGTAGCTAACCAATTGTCCCAGGACCATTTATTTTCACGCCAATTTTTAAAAATCATCTAAACTTTATCTGGGTACCTGAATATGTTTCTAGCCCCTGTGTTCCTTCTAAATATGAAAATTTGAATATTTGGCTCACCTGCTTAAAATCCTTCAGTGGCTCCACAGAGACATTAAAAATAAGATTGGAACTCAAAATTATAGGGCTCTTCATGATCTAGTCACTGCTCAGGTTTTTGCCTCATCTCTTCCCATTCTCCCTTGCTTTCTTTGTTCCCTAAGAGAACCACGTTCCCTAAAAGATGCTTCTCTACTTGCCCACAGTGCCCTTCTTCACCTTCACCTCACATCTTTGATCTGGTTGAGTCCCACTCATTCTCTATGATTTAGCACAGTCTTTGCTTCTTGTTAAAAACAAACAAACAAAAAACAAAACCCTACCTGGACATACACACATGCACACAATCCCCCATTTATTTACCTTTTATCAAAGCACTCATTATACCACACTGTCGTTTACTTGTGTATTTACATTAGTGTGAATTGAAAGTTACAGGTCCTGATACATGATATTCTTTTGGTAAATGGCTAATGAGTGAATGAATGAACTTTAATACTTAGTCTACTCTGCCAGAAGATTTGCAAGGCCCTAAAAGTGACACAAAATAACGAATCTCAGTTCCTACCTGAATTTACCAATCATTTTACTTGAGAGGTATGATTTTTAAAAAGTCAAGTTAAATGAGGACCAATAGCCATACAATGAGTTTCTTAAAAATCTACGAGCCAGCATGAATTTGATGACAGAATAAGCTGCAATTATAAAATGCACTAAAACAAAATATAATACATACATGTGAAATACCAGACAGGGAAACTGATAGCAAGTCACCCACTAGAGTGTCTTCCTCCAATTTAGTCCCCCACTTGGCACCCATCTCACATCCAACTCTAGAAACAAAAATCAAACTGTCCAGAAGTTCATTCCATTAGTGTTTTTAAATACTTTGGATCCTCACCTGGAGAGCCCTCAAATTTTTAAGTGACGTAATACATTAAGAGATAACATGAGAGATCTTCTTACTTGGTACATTTGTTCTGATCCGAGTTTCCTAGGGTGCCTGTTCAGTTTCAAACAAGCTTCACTGAATACTGAAATATTGAAAATTCCATCATCTTCTAAGAGATCATCTTCTAAAAGATAAAACATAGGGAAAGGTTGCACGTCTTAGCAAAACATATCTTGGCTAAGTACAACTGAAACTCTGACATCTTACAAGAGCCAGCAGGGTGTTTAACAGCAAGAGCATCCCATCTGCCTACAAGTCCTGGCTCTACAACCTAATTGCATGACCTTAGCTAAGTCACTTAACCCCTCCAATCCTCAGTGTCCTTCTCTGTGAAATCAGGTAATCCGGTTTGCTTTTATTATATCACAGGCTACTGAGAGAATCAGATAAAATAATTCATATTTAAAAATCACCATAAACTAGGGGCACCTGGGTGGCTCAGTCAGCTAAGCATCTGCCTACAGCTCAGGTCATGATCCCGGGGTCCTGGAATGGAGCCCCGCCATCAGGCTCCCTGCTTGGGGAGGGAGGAGGGAGCCTGCTTTTCCCTCTCCCTCCTGCTCATGTTCTCTCTCACTATCTCTCTCTCAAATAAATAAATAAAATCTTTTTTAAAAAAATCACCATAAGGGGCGCCTGGGTGGCTCAGTTGTTAAGTGTCTGCCTTCGGCTCAGGTCATGATCCCAGGGTCCTGGGATCGAGCCCCACTTCGGGCTCCCTGCTCTGCGGGAAGCCTGCTTCTCCCTCTCCCACTCTCCCTGCTTGTGTTCCTGCTCTTGCTATCTCTCTGTCAAATAAATAAATAAAATCTTAAAAATAAAAATCACCATAAACTGGAGCACCTGGGTGGCTCAGTTGTTAAGCGTCTGCCTTTGGCTCAGGTCATGATCCCAGGCTCCCTGCTCCGCAGGAAGCCTGCTTCTCCCTCTCCCACTCCCCTGCTTGTGTTCCCTCTCACACTGTCTCTCTCTCTCTCTGTCAGATAAATAAATGAAATCTTTAAAAAAAAAATCACTATAAACTAATAAAGCTGTGATATTTTTAGAAAGTTCATCTTATCACTTGGATAGTCCATACATTAAATGTCCTGAAGGTAAGCATGTCAACATCTAAAAAGTCTGAGCATAAGGAAAAGGTGAATGAAAGTCAGAGACCACGGATCAGAACTCTCAGAGTGGGTGGTGTTTCCAACCTAGAAGATGAACAGAGAGGAGATGGCCAGGCAAGATGTTTGCTTCACAGCAGACAGTATTTCAAGAGCTACTCAGCTAAGGACGAAGGCAGTAAAATAATCAGAGAGGAGACTTATTTCAACAAAAAAGACCATTTCACTCCTCCTGCAGTCTGATTTATTCCTTCCATGGTCTATTTTCTTCATGTAGTCATGAAGAAAGAAGAGGTTTGTTACTAATGAGTAAAAAACTCCCAGAGTGTCCAGGAATACCACAGCTAATTTTCAAGGAAGAGCAACTTTCCCAACAAGCCGGTACATTTTCTACAAATGAGAAAAAGTTTAAACAAAACTTTTTATAACTACCTGGAAAACTATATTTCTCCCATGGGAGCCTGCTCCCTAAGAAGGAAGAAGAACAACAAATTATTCTATTCAAAATCAAAACTGCCCACAGCATATTACATGTCACTCACACATGCAACACAAGGCGATTAGCTGGGGGAATAATTGGAAAATGTAAAGAAAAATACGGTTACGAGAGAGAACTTGAGGACCGATCACATGCATTCCCCTTTATCTTCACAGCTTTTAAAGATTCCGTAAAGACATCAGAAATGAAAATTGCTACGTGTTTGCATATAATTTTAGGCACACCAAATATAATATATAAGAAATACCACACGCAGAATGTCTGTTCACAAACAGAACACAAAGCAGAAATACTGTCGGCACAGCTCCCATCTCAGTACAACTGGGCTCACTCACAGCCACGAGAGTCTGAACTCGGGGGGAAGATGGGGACGTGAACAAAAGCATCTGGTTCCCACTTCCCACCCCCAATCCTGACAGACGTGGCGGAGATTAGGAAAAAGGGGTCACAATTTGCATCTGGGTTGGAAGGAAGGGTTGGTTGACATACACAAGCCATCAACATGAAGACGTTTCTGCTTAGCACCATGTGGAGGAGACCAGACAAAAGAAAAGATGCTGAGAGCTACAATGTACAACGTGCCCCCAAGCAAAGAAGCCTGGTCTCAATGTCTTCTAGGAAGGAACTGGGGAAGGACTGGGGCCCACAGAGGTGGGGCCTAGAAGTGAGGAGGGCAACAGGACAAATAAGTGATGGATGCTCCATCTGGAACAATTTAGCCTGGTCGTTCCTGTATTTTGACAGGCAGCCAGGGTAAAAACCATATATACTACTATGACTACTACTAGTAGTAATAATAATAATAGTCCTTCCTTAGCATACTGGAGATCAGTAACATGGAAGGACTTCTATGGGGAGGTCTAGAGACCTGGAGGTTCCACCTGACAGAGAACCTGGGTGGGCAGAAGGAGGGACTTGGTTCTCTCCTGCCTCTGTAGACCATAGCATCATAATGAAGTCAGACAACACAATGCTGACTGAGAGCAACAGTTTCACAAATCAAGACAGCCAAGTGCTGAGGGGCACCTAGGTGGCTCGGTCAGTTAAGCGTGGGACTCTTGGTTTCAGCTCGGGTCATGATCTCATGGGTGGTGAGATCCAGCACCACCACCCTCACCCCCCAGCCTTTACCCCTCCCCCCCACCCCCACAGGTTCTGTGCTCAGTGGCGAGTCTGCTTGAAGATTCTCTCCCTCTGCCCCTGCCCGCTTCTCTCTCGCTCTCTCTCAAATAAGTAAATCTTAAAAAAAAAAAAAAAAAAAGATAGCAAAAGTGCTCAGAAATAGGGGCGCCTGGGTGGGTCAGTCAGTTAAGTGTCTGACTCTTGATCTCAACTCAGGTCTTGATCTCAGGGTCATGAGTTCAAGCTGTGTTGGGCTCCATGCTGGGTGTGGAACCTACTTTAAAAAAAAAAAAAGGGCTCAGAAATAAAGCTCAGGGCATTGGCTTTCTCACAGCTAGCTGCTCCCGGAAGGACAGGACAGAAGGACGCTGGATTATCCAATCAGTAATAAATCCTTCAAGATGAGATCTGAGATAAGCACATTAATATTATCCAATAAAAAGTAAGATCAAAGAGAATGTCATCCATTTTATTACAAGAGAAATATCAAACCTAGATAAAACTTTTATCTTCCAACAATAAGTAATCTAGAAGCAAAAAAACAACATAAAAATGATTCTATGAAATCTAAGAAATGATTCTACAAAGATGTGCTTAAGAGGCAAAGAATGAATATTCTTTTGAAAAAAACAATATTAAGCAAAGTAATAGTAAACTTAGGCAACATCTTTTTTGTAAAATTTTTGTAAAAAATTTTAAAGATGGATTAAAACAGATAAAGGATGAGTTAATAAGAGAATGCATGAGAGGAAACTGGTTGAGAGAGGCAGAAATAAAAAGGGAACTAGATGAGGGGCGCCTGGCTGGTTCAGTCAGTAGAGCATGTGACTCTTGATCCTGGGGTAATGAGTTCAAGCCCCACACTGGGCGTAGAGCTTTAAAAAAAAAAAAAAAAAAGGAACTAGAGGAGATAAGGAAATGCAAGTCCAACAACAAAATATAACATGCATTAGAAATAGTGAAGGCCGGGGGCGCCTGGGTGGCTCAGTCGTTAAGCGTCTGCCTTCGGCTCAGGTCATGATCCCAGGGTCCTGGGATCGAGCCCCGCATCGGGCTCCCTGCTCTGCGGGAAGCCTGCTTCTCCCTCTCCCACTCCCCCTGCTTGTGTTCCCTCTCTCACTGTGTCTCTCTCTGTCAAATAAATAAAATCTTAAAAAAAAAAAAAAAGAAATAGCGAAGGCCAGAAAGGTCGATGCACATATGCATAAATGTCTGTACAGAATAAACCTGCTGTGCTCTCACAGAAGACAGAGGTAAAAGGCAAGGATATAAAAAGGGAGAGAGTGAAGACCAGTGCAGACAAACAAGGAACTCCATATAGGAGCATTTGATGAGCCAAAATACCAAATGAAAAAAAAAAGCAATAATCAGAGATTTCATGAAAGAAACTATTTCTAATGTGTAAATGTGATGTGGGAAACAAAGGCAAAAGAAAGAATCAAGTTTCCTTACTGCCTAGAGACACTGACAAGTCCTTGAAATAGGTGGAGTGACCTTCCTCTGGGAGCTCAGCTGCCTGAATGTTGACACTTTGCTAGGGGCAAAAGGCAATCTTAGCCCAACCGACCCCACCCCCATCCTGTGAGTCTACTTGAACATATACATTCCTTTGGAAACTTCCTTTATCTCTACCCCACCACGATACCTGTGAGCAATCATCCTCCAAGCATATGGCCCACTGATACACATCTGAAGGGTCTCATGACTAAGGGTTTACTAGATAGTAATAAATGACCTTCTCCTAACTATAACTAGTCCCCTCAAGATCCTGGAAACCTTGTTTCCAAAACACCTTGGAGGCTTGTGCTGTCCCTAACCACCCCCCAACTTGAAAGTATATAATCAGTCACCCATCACAACCCCAATGCAGCACTTTCTGCCCACAGGTCCCATCCCCGTGCATTAATTAAACCACCATTGGCTCCAAACCCCACCACTTCAAACTACATCAAATGGATCAAAATCTGAAGATCCAAAAACCTTCAGAGTACTAGGAAAACTTAGTGAAAAACAGTAACATTTATATCACGCCTGATTAGTTTTCATGAGGGAAGGGATTTTTCTGTCTCATTCACTACTGAATTCCCAATGCCTAAAATAATGTCAAATACACAAGTGGTCAATAAACAAATAAATCTCAGGGTCATGAGTTCAAGCTGTATTGGGCTCCATGCTGGGTGTGGAACCTACTTTAAAAAAAAAAAAAAAAAGGGCTCAGAAATAAAGCTCAGGGCACTGGCTTTCTCACAGCTAGCTGCTCCCAGAAGGACAGGACAGAAGGACGCTGGATTATCCAATCAGCAATAACTCCTTCAAGATGAGATCTGAGATAAGCACATTAATATTATCCAATAAAGGGGCGCCTGGGTGGCTCAGTCCTTAAGCGTCTGCCTTCGG